AAATAAATATTTTTTTAAGCATTTATTTTACCTATAAAATAATATTTTTACACACACACACACACACACACACACACACACACACACACACACACACACACACACACACACACACACACACACACACACACACACACACACACACACACACACACACACACACACACACACACACACACACACACACACACACACACACACACACACACACACACACACACACACGAATTTAAAAGAAAATATTAAAATATGATTAATGATTAAAAACATTGCTTACCTCAGAAAATGTGTAAAAATGCCCTTGCATGGAATAATATCATTGAATATACAACTTCTAAAACAAAAGCCATATAAAAAAAAATTGTCGTAACGGTGTTTAAAAGAAAAAAATTGAGAGAATAAAGGAATTTTCCTGTGATATAAAATGAATAACTTAAAGAAATGCAACTGTTAAAAATTATTGGTAATAAAAATAACGAAACAGTCGAAATATTGAAAAAACAATAATCAATTTTCATATTCACGAATAAAGAACTATATGCTGTATATTACAAATTTTGATTTAAATCTTTAGTTGTTAAAAGGATTTTGAAATGTCAATTATTTCTTTTAATACATATTTTCAAGTTTACTTCATAAAATGTGTTTATTTTCAATTGATTGTGACATTGTCACTCCGTATTTCTGTAAACGGAGTAATATCGTTTGATTTCTATTTATACTGTCAATTGTTTTTAAGTTTTTAAAGCTTCTCTGTCAAAAATCGTTTGATATGTTATTAGTACATGAAACATTTTCAGCAAGAGTTTTCATTTTTTAGATATTTATTTTAGGTAAATATTACTTTTGTTTCAGTTGTTAGCTAGCCAAGGTTGCAATTTATAAGTTATGAAGGAATAATATCATTAAGAGAAAATTCAATCATATAAATGTATGGATTATCATGCAATAAATGCCAACATTCTTTTAAAAAAGAACATACTTTAACAAGAAAATTTAAGGAAAAGAATTGTGTGTGTATTTTTTTTAATTTAAAGGAATTGAAACGATTAGATAATAGAGAGAGAAGAAATTAGTTTCCCAGTAGTTGTAAAAGAAGGGATTTTTCATTATAACTGGTTTAAAGAAACACGTGACCTGTTGCTATAGTTACATAATGAAACTAATCTATATAATGAAAAATAAATCGTTTTCAAATTATTTCCATTCTCTTTTTTAAAATTCAACTTTATAAACGAAACTATTTTATTCCATTAAGCAATACAATCTATTTCTCTGAGACAATTTTTTTAAAATTATAAATTTTTCAAACTAAACAACAGGATTTAATTACATATTCAAATAAACAATCTCGTTAGAAAATACGTATGCTTAAAACAAAACGAGACGAAACATAAATATTTTTTTTGTTTGTTTTAGAATCGATAAACTACATAAATTTATTTATTTTTCTAAATAAAATGATTCTTATATTCTGAACAAGCATTATTTTAAATATTATATTCAATCCATTGATTTTATCTCAACTTTTCAATACGCTGCTATTAATGTATGAAATGTCTTCTCTAAAACAACCATTTATATGCGGAAAACTCTTATTAATTCTTCATATCAATTAGGGATTATGCCTCTATTCATATTTAATATCCCATTCTGTCGTTTCTTGCCCTATAGAATTCATTAATACGACATCAACACAAAAGAATGTGTTTTCGACAGCATCGTGTGGTGTCGAAGAGGAGAGTTTTGGCACGCTGCCTATACGCTGCCGGATGCTTTACTAAAAATACTCGAAGAAATAACTTCTTTTATGTAAGAGAGAGATCTAAACAGCCCCTTTATAATACAAAGATGACCTAGAATTGTGTGCCTCTATTTTTAGAGGAAAACTGTGTTTACATCTGAGGTCATGCTCAGGTTTGGTTTGTTTTTATAGAAAAAAATAAGACGAAAGGATTTTGGTTTGAGTCGAAATTTAACCATAAGTAAATCGGAAGAATAACATTTCGAACGCATCGAATAAGAGCTTGGAAAATTACTAAAGAACTTAATTGTAGTTTGATTATGATTTTAATAATGATGACACAAAGCTGTTTAAGTTCTTATGGTCAATAATTATAAGCTTGGTGTTTCTTTTCTTCGAAAAGCTATTGTATATAGATAAAAGTTGTAGCTTATTAAAATCGAATGTACCTCACGTGGTAAATTGCCAAATCAAGCATTGTCCATAGAAGGGGGCAAAATATACATAAAACAAATACTTAACTTTGGGAAATTTAATTCGTTAGAGATAATTAATTAATTAAAGATATTCAATTGTAAAATTAATTATATACACTGTTCACTTAAAGTAAATCAAATTGTTTTCTAAGGTTTTCATCAACATACAAAAAAAATACATGTACTTTTTGACGTTAACTACTTTTTCGGAACAAAAATGACGATCTTTGCAATCCACTGAAAACGCTGTCAGCTGAAAACGCAATGTTGGTTATAAAACTATTTATCTTCTCTGCTAAAATACTCATCATATAACCCATGCTGCCATAGATCTTGGAAGAGTGGATTTCAAAGATTATTCCTGCTAAGTATGGTTAGAGCATTCGTAAAAATGGTTATTATATGCAATTTTAAAGTAAGTGGTACTTATAAGTACCGTCGGTAGATAAAGGGTTAAACTGAAGTGGATTGTCCTAGAATTAGATCGTTGAAATTTTAAAAAAAATATAAAGACGAAAAAAGACAGCTACATCGAGAGGATGAAAAAGTCCTAGGGACTTTTGGATTAATGCATGTTATGCGTTTTAGTCTCTAACTACAGTAATTACAAATACATGTAAATAAAATGTTTGTATTTTCCATTAAATTTTCATAATATTATCCGAGTTAAAATAAACACGAATCGATGACGAGGTCAGCTGCTTAGCTTGTACAGCCCTTAACGACTTTAATCGCAGCATGTTAAACTGTCCTGCGCAAAGTTTAACATGCCAGATGAAAACACGTCTCGAGTCTCTGATCAGATCACTGAAGAAAACCCGCCTCCAATCATCCTCTCTCCAAGACAGGTGTTCTTGGAAATATGCTAGATGGTCTTTTTGTGGTTCCCAGTCAAGGGACGCAGACTACAGGGTGCCTAGAATACCACGCCCCTAAATTAATTCTCTAAGTGACTGTTATCGAAAAAAAGATGTTCCTGTTGCATTACACAGGTTGCGAGAGATCTGTGTCGCCTCTCACGAACCTATTCCTTTTAGCTTAAAATCTCAAATAACGGTCTTGAGCTGGCGTTGTTGCTCTTTTGCGGACTTGGCCAGGTCAGTGGACCACTGTTGCTGTCTCTATGAACTGTTTCCACAAAGTGGACACCACATTTCAGTTGGCAGCCTGTGGTTGTTTGAATCTTCCAGCTATCCGCCATCATGTGGCATCCTCTAGACCAGGACGACTGGTCATATTAACGATGGGGGAAAAAGGAATAAAAACAAGAACTGGGCTAAGCTATGATGTTTCAAAACTTCTTTACACTACAAGCTTCAGCGAGCAAGAAAGGTACCTTTACACAAAGTCGATCACAGCGCCCCTGCCTTACGACGTCACTGCATGGCAGAGGTGTCCACATAGAGCTCAGCTATCATTTGATACCTTATTTGCGTATAGGAATTAATTATTTTGCTCTTTTTTTAATAAAAAGCTGTTCCTCCCTTTAATTGTTTTCATCAGTGTAGTACGGAGTGGCATCCTTTCAAGTGGTTTTGAACCAATTTTCAAGGAAATTCGCGTTCTGAACAACAAAGAATTATTTTTTACGCACATTTGGGAGAATTTTCAAATTCCTAATTTTCGATGTAAGAAAATAAGATATTTAAAACTTTTCCTGTACGCAAAATTAATTTTTCTTTGCTCGTTCAGCGTCATCGTGTGATTCTGTTTTATTACATATTTTCTATAACTAGTGACAAAAACCTTTATAGTCTACAATAAGGTACCTCATACATTAATGAAAGGATCTTTATTTTATTTTATTTTATTCGTATATTTCTCTTTATTGTTGATTCGTATGGAATCCGTATATGTGTATGAAATATAGTTCATTATATAATCTCTTCTCTTTTATGTAAGAATGATCCACACTCCATCGAGAAATCATTAGTACCAAAAGAATGCATGAGATTGTGCGAACATTCATAATTCTTGTTTTCTTTTAGACATTTTATTATTCGAATCAAGTTTGCATGCATATAAAAATATATTATTCATTTAAAGTTCGTAAATGCTAATTTAAGTGTTGAGTTCAAGTATGGTGCCTAATACGATCTATTCAGATGATGAACACTGTTCATTCCATTAGAATCTCTCTCTCTCAGAGCGTATAGAAACTCCAGTCTGCAGTGTGTCGAAAAATAGTAATAAAGCCAAAGTATTACAAGATTGTGTCTTTGTAGTGTGGGACGAATACACTATGGAAAACATAATTTCAATAGAAGCCGTGAACAGAACAATGCAAGACCTAAGAGGTAATACTCTATTTTGTTTGGTGGAGTAACATTTTTATTCGCTGGAGATTTTAGACAAATATTACCAGTTGTGACTAAAGGTACACGAGCGGATGAAATTAATGCTTGTTTAAAATGTTCAGTACTTTAAAGACATTTTAAAAAAAAAGTGTGTGTGTACTTATGTACGCACGTAAGAAGTTATACTTCTTTGGCGTAACAAGATTAAAATCTTTCTAAAAATCCTTAGCAGGGCAAGCTGGGCCAAGGACAAAAGGCGGTCACGAGCAGAGTTGAACGATACTAACCTTCAGTCAATCGGACCAGCCAAACCTGAGATAATCACGATTTAAATAAATTTAAACACCCCCGCACCAGAACAATAGGACCAATAATATAGGGAGGGGGTCGAAGGCGGAAATGATCTGACCCATTCTGCATATTTCTAGACAAAGCATTTTCGTATCCGTTCCTACGGAACGCAAAGCAAAGGTTCGCTGACGCGGGTGTATAGCTCAGTGGTAGAGCATTCGATTGTAGATCGAGAGGTCTTCGGCTTAAAACTCGGGTGTCCCCTTCTTCAGGGAAGTGAAGAGAAATATTTTTCTGAGAATTTCGAAGGCGGGAATGATTTGTCCCTTTCTGTATATTTCTAGCAAAGGATTTTCACATCCGTGATGGTTTGGGCCCTCCATGACGGTGTGGGGCGCATTTAAAAATTTCCCTCATCCATTTCTCTAACGCCCCAAAAAAATATA